GAGCAATAAAGACATAGTAACTAAGTGATTTGAGTTATAATATACCACTGAACAGATAATTAGATAAAGATTTGTGCTTCATTATTGTTCGCTAAATAAATAACGGACATTGATACCAAGCCTAAGCATGCTAAAAATTGCATAACGGATAGTCAATGCCAACTTTCTACGGGTAATCTTCAAAAAAAAAAAAAACAAATAAATAATTTCAAAATGATTTACAATAAGTTAAAATAAGTTAGCAACTAATTAGGGCGTTAGATCATTGTAAGAGACGTGCTTAATTGTCTCCCTAGACACACTGCACGAGAAGCTTGTGGTACTTGGCATGAAGGCTTTGAGAATGGCCAACAGCAATGAGTTGTCTAACGGTATTTCTAAACATAAAACCAAAAAAATTCCTCCAAGGCATAAAAAAACCAAATATAATTTAAAGAAATTGAGAAATGAATGCATCATTTTGGAATTACTGGCAAAGATCAAACCCACAGAAGGATCTGCTTAATTAAAGCCCTGCATAAACATAGGATGCAGCAGGTAAGCTATGCCATGGCACTATTAGCAATGACAAAACAACAAATTTAGAGGACTTCCAATCCCAGGCCTCTAAAACATGACCAATAAAACTTGCTACAAGCACTTCCACCCCACAAAAAACCAGAAGATCAGGTCTAACTGTTCCCCAGAGAAAAGTAAACAACATTACCTGCATCCATATCTTGGAAGCATCAAAGCAGGCCTTCATCCCTTCCTCATAGTCATCGATTGAAGCCTCCACCACTTCAGCAATAACCTAAACAAAGCGTGAGGGACCAAAGCTCGTCTAAAAAAAGAATTGACGAAAAGCGATCCCGCAAACAAAATTAATTATAAAAAAATCGATAAAAAAGGAGTTCCAGAACAAGCCTCGTTATTGGCAGGATTCAACGAGGCGACCACCGGTCCGGTAGCTCTCCATGCGCCGTTCAGATAGCAGCCGGGATTGCGGGGGCCTAGGCCAATCCCCGAGAGGAACTGGTACTCCTTCTTGAGAAAACCCATCAACGCTTTCTTGTTGGGGAGGGGAACTATGGATGGAAAGCTGGGAAGAGAAATTAGAGAACTGCGCTCACGAATGAAGGGGAGAAAGCAATAACGGAAGTGTGGGAAGGGGAACTAGAAGTAGACGACAATGAAATGATTTGTACGCGAGTCATGCGGGCCATGCTTTCTCGCCGCGGCATGCCGTCCGCCGTTCGATAACGTGAGAATCTACAAATAATTAATGTTATCTACTTGTATTTATAGTAAGTTAATTTTAAATGTTATCTTCTGTAATTCATGCTTGTCATATACTTATATTCTATATATTGCTCTTTAAGCATAATTCAAAGTTCTAGAATTCAAAGTTTTTTAACTTTGCTAATTTTTTAAATATCTTTTAAGATTATTTTTTATTTTAATTTTGTTTAATAATTAAGCTTGAAATATGAATATTTATCATATTAAATATATGATTTTTTTAATAAATATTGCATAAATAGATTTATGAGCGGTCGGTAGTGATAGCGACATAGAGGTGTGCAAGACAGCAACAACATGTGGCAAATTTGGATAGTAGTAATAAGGCTTGGGTGATGGTGAAGATAAACATTGGTGGCGACAGAGAAGAAGGGGAAGATGGAGCAACAATGATATTTGCAGGGTGGTGGTTATGAGCACAAGATGAAGGGACGAGACAGTGTGACAAGTGGTGGGGCACTAATATAACATGTGATTTGTCTGTCAAATAAGTTACAATGTTGTTGAATGAGTAACACCAGCACTGCAGCGATAAGTGTGGTGAAATCAAGCTATAAGTGAAATGTTAGGCCAACTAACAAAGCAATAGAGCGGCGATGACTGCAATTGTCGTGGATTAGTCTGCAATGAGTGCAAGGTGAGTCAATGTGTTGCATGAGATCAATAGCTAATAGGTCATGTTTCCATAAATAACTGAAAACTACTACTTTTAAATTGTTTTTTAAGAATTTCTTTTATTTTCTAAAAAAATTTATAAATCAATATCCAAATATATTTTTCAACTCCATATGAGAATCATAAAAAGTGATGATAGACAAAACATTAGTTAATAAATAAAAATAATAATTGAGAAATTTTTACAAAGTATATTAATATTTTTTGAGAGCAAACAAGAAAGTTGAGGAGATTTGTCACGGGAGAAATATAAAATGAGGTGTAAGCCTTATGGGTGAATTATTGGAATGCATTGTAGCTGAAGACAATGAAAATGGGAAGAATTTTGTTAGCCAAATGAGCATCGAAGCCAATTAAAAGATTGTTCATAGTAAATTTAAATCCAAATTTATCCACAGTTAATGACAGAATCTTACTAATTATCTATGTGAGGTTTTACATGCTAAATAATGAAAAGATTATCAAAAATGCAAAAAGAGAGTTTTATTTCTTAAATATATAAGCTCGGGGATAATATAGTTGGTTCCTAAAATAGCCATTTGGCATATTATTTATGGCGTCATTAAGGTAAAATAATATTTTATCTTTTTACATAATTAAGTAAATAAAACTTAATGAGACTTGCCCATATACATGTGAATAGATGTAGTTAGAACATTCACGAGCAGGTGTGAATAACCACCATGACTTTTTTATTGGCATGAATAGCTATCTAAGCAATTAAGGTTGTGATTCTATAAGTGAAGTTATCTATTTGTTGAGCAAAGTATATAATTTTCTAATGATTTCTTCAACCTTTATTTTATGTTAGTGTTGTGAGATATGTACTTCCAGACATAGAAATGAGACGAAAAAGAACACAAGCAAACACAGATCGTTTACGTGGTTCGATCCAACTGGATCTACGTCCACGGGAGGGAATCAATCAAATATTTCACTAAGGCAAAAGAAATGGAGAATACATAGCTTATACATAGAGAT